CAGCACAGGACGGTAGCTCTGTGGCTGGCCTGCGACTGCTCCGACGTTCATCGTAGATTCCTCACGCGCAATTTGCTGGGCTGTCCTTCAGCTCGGCCGTCGGATCGTCCGAAGTCACTGCAATGCGCCTCGAACTTCAGTCAAGACCTTTTAGAAAAAGCTCCTGATCCGCGCTTAGCCCAAGCTCGGACGGCAGACTGCTCGCTCGTTGCGCCACATCCACCAAACGAGCAGCTGATCGTCTGACTCCCTTGTCCGATGCTGCGCTCGCGCATCGGCCGTCTGTACAGGGGCGCAGGCACATCACTTCGACCTGCACCAGATGTGGCTCGCTCCTCAGCCGCTTCAACCACATCGACTCTCGACCCAAAGATACGACATCACACGCTCGACGACGTCCCTGCTCGGAGAAAGCTATCGAACGCAGCGCACTTGCGCTCGACTTTCCCAGCCCGCAATGCCTCCAGCATCTCGGCGGCTGCGTTCCGCTCGGAATCATTCTTCAACGCTTCACAGCCGGAGGAACCGCTCAGCGCCTCTCAGCCTTTAACAGAGGACCTCGTCACTCCGCAGCTCGCCTCGGAACGCTATCTTCCGCCACTGGCTGATGTCACGTTTGCCGCCCACGATGATGAGCAGCAAGCGCTCTGCGACGCCTTGAAGAACCTAGATGCCGACAACTCTTGGACGCTCTATCTCCAACTTGGACCGGCTAGACATGCTCTGCATCCCTCCATCATCGACCGACTCATCACGCTACAATGTCGCAAGCCTGTCAGATCGTTACCAGGCAGTCGAGCCGATGCGCAGCTTGCGCTTCGACAGGTCTGCGACCGTGTCTTGCAACTCTGCAAAGACAAGGCGCGCTGCAAGGTCGGCACTTCCGCCCATTCGTCGGCTTCTGCCGATCGAGAGGGACTCTCGGCATTGTCACCGGAAGCGGCTCTGAGACTGCTGTACCTCCTTGTCGTCGAAGAGGAACAGGTCGCTGCTTCTAGGTCCGCGCCACCTCCGCAGAAGCGCGCGAATTTGTCGCACATCTTGCAGACTCTTTGGGTCAATCTTGCCTCGTCCTCGAGTTTCGCCGAAGAGCACGTCGACATTGCACTGCGAGGTCGCCTGGCAGCATCCTTGGCGCGGCTCGGCTCTCACGACGCTGCTTATCGCCAGCTGGAAATGGTCGTGGATCTCGCAGAGGCCAGGGGCTGCCAACAGGAAGTCGACCCTCGTCCCTTCGATCAGCTTCTGTCGGCGCTCGCAAGGCAACGATCGAACAGCAAGCGCCTGCCCAAGTATCTTCCCTCGCCAATTGATCGCCCGATATCCGCTCCCGACGAAAACGATCCGATCATTCGTGCTTTGCGGCTCGCTGTCGTCTTCGAGGTGCCCGTGTCCAAAGCCAACATCCACAAGTGTCTGCAAGCCCTCGACTCCCCGACCCTCTGGTGGTTGCTGCCGTTCGAGCTCGACTCTGACAAGAGGCGCCAGTCAAGCGCCATCGAAATCCCAGATGACAGATACGCGCTCAAGCCAAAATGGCATCCATGGCAGACCTCGGCCCATGGCAGCGATGTGCCGCAGGACATACTCGACACTTTTGCAGAGCGTGTCTCGCTCGTCCTTGCCCAACGTGGCATCTTGCAACCGGCGCTGCACGTATTGGATGGTTTGCAATCGCATGTAGCTGCAGACGGCAAAGCCGACAAGCGTCATGGCACGTCGTCCAACGTTCCAGACCACGACCTATTCACGGTTGTCCTCGAGCGGCTTTCCGATCGCATGGCGACCAATAACATCGCAGCCGGGCGCAAGTCGCTCGACATTCACACGACTCTCCTACTCGACCTCCAGCTTGCCGTCAAGGTCTACAGTATCGCATACGATTCCGGCGTGGACCTCGACCCGCGCATCAACGAGGCCGTCATCAAGTCCTTCGCCGCCTGCGTGCCCTCGTCTGTTGTGGATCTCGGTCCAGATAGAGCACGCCTCACCAAGATCAAGGCCAACATCGCCGAGCGCAATCAGTCTCGTGGAAGTCACAAGATGCTGCACTCGTGTCTTCGTCGCTTTACCACGATGGTCCTGGACAGGGACCCGGACTTGAGCAAAGGTGCACTCCGGTACCAAGCACAGGCAACCCTCTTGGGCCTGCATCTGCGGCTCCGAGATCACTCGTTTTCGAAGAAGCTGTACCAGCTCATCCGGCTCCGCGAGCCTGGTCGCGAGCTTTGGTCGAAAGATCCCGAGTCGGGATCACTGCAGCACGTGGCGCTGCATCCCACGTGCCGACCAGACAGCAGCCTCTTCTACTGGCTTTTTCGAGAGAGTCTCTATGCCGCCCCCGAACCACTCTTCGCTGTCCAGCTCTCACTGGACTGGCTGGCCAGCGGCAATGCCCTCTCCGCTGGACTCATGATACCCTTCGTGCAGACTCTCCTCCGTAAGGGCCTCACGGCCGAGTTCCAGCGCGTGCTTCACGAGTTGCAGCGAAGAGGCACCCCGCTCCCTCCTCGCCTTGCTCGAAGCCTGGTAGCTTCGTTGGCAGAAGCTGGGTATCCGGAACTTGCTGTCGAGGTGGCGAACGGCGTTTCACAAGCTGCTGCCTCGACAGCACCATATCGCTCCGGTCACGTGGTGGCTGTCGGAAGCTCGGCTGAGCCCGAGCCATCAGTCCTCGTCCCCGCATTGCATCTGATGAGCATCGCTCTCGATCGGTCGAGCAAGATGCTGGATTCGACTCGATTGCCCCTCGTCAGCAAGGTGCTCGGTCTGTTCGACGAATTCAGACTTGGTCTTACGCAGTACCTCCTTCACACTCACAGACAAGGCGACGACGTGAATCAGCCACAAGGCCGTCTGCCTGCGTCAGATATCCGGACGGCATACAACGCGGCAATGAGGGTGCGGCTAGCGGCGTTGCCGGGCACAGAATCGGAAGGCTGGACGGACACAGATCAAGAGGAATACACGTACCTGCAAGATCGCGCCTCGATCCACGGCCACGTGGAATCGCTCTTCGCAGAGATGGCGGCACAGGAGGTGGAGCCCGACGTGCACTCGTGGACGCTGCGAATCACGGCGAGTCTGTACGACTGTCTCAACGCTTCCAATGACCACAAACGCCTTGTCCGGTTGAAGCGCACCATCGAGCTGTTCGAAGCAGCTTCGCAGCAAATGCCTCGGCAAGATGGCGGACGATCGCCATGGGACGGGTCAGAAGCTGTGGGATCTAATACCGTCACTGTGGACTCGACACTTGTAGCTGCCCTGATGCATGCGTGCCGTCGCTGCAGCGATCTCGATGCTGGCATGCACGTCTACGAGGCTTACGTGCGCCTTGGCGGCCTGGACCAACGCGTTCAGGAGGCCCAGCTGATGCTGTTGGCTTCCCTCGGCAGGCATGGCGAATGGCAGCGCGAGCTGAAGCGACTCGAGCATGCAACAGATGTGCCGTTCAAGCCATCCCAGCGAATCGTCAAGCAGCTGCAAGCGCTCGCAGCTCAAAAGTGAAATCGATGCATCTCGCCAAGGATCTCTCTGCTGGCAATGTACAATCGAGCGTTGGGCGGGAACCTTCATCTGGATTGAAAGCTTTGAACTTTTCTCGGTCCACCACGTGCTGCCGCGGCATATGCGCCTGGGCCTTTTGAGCGTGGGAGCGAATGAAGTGCACGGCTGCGCAGGAAGCATGCGGATGCACATGGGAGAGGGCCGATCAATTTGGAAAGCTGAGCTTAAAGGCTTGGCACGAGCCCTGCAGGTGGGGTGGTCAAGCCGCCGGTGGGGAAGGCTGCTCGAGCTCGTGGCTGAACCTCGTTGGTCGAACGCCGAGGTTTCCAGGTCGTGGCTGGTGGGGAAGGCTGCCGCGTGGGGACGGAAGCGTCAAGTGAGAATCCCAGCCGAGAACGCACCGAATCACGTCCTGCTCGGCTGAGCTTGCTTGCGCATACGCTCGATTGTGCCACGAGGGACCGCCAGGCAAGATCTCATGAATCGCTGGAATGAGAATCGCTGCTGTCGGCTCTCAACGGCGACTATAGCTCCGAAACGCGGCATCTCGGCCTGTGACGAAACAAGGTGCCTTACAAGATGCTAGGTTGGGCTGCATTTGGATTGGGAACGGACGGAAGTGACGGCAGGGGGCAAGGACAGGGGCGTCAATCCCATCACGGGCAATGGGTTTGACGCCTAGTAGACGTGTAATGGATGAGGAACGAACGCCGAGAAGCGTATTGATCTCGACATGTGCAGCTGTCTGCATGAAAGCACAGGAGGCAGCGGCACTGTACTTTGATGCAGCACCAAATCGCCACGCGTCACACAACGCACATTAAAGTGCGGGACCCACGGCTCGCATGAACCCACCATACACAGGCAGGTCGCGAGGCACCTCGCCCGCAACGACCTCTTGCCTCTGGCCGACAGTTGGGTTCGCGGGACCAAGGGGCTGTCGTATTCCTGGACCCGCGGTTCCCGAACGCATTGCTTTGCAACCAGCTGTTCGACTGCCGCGTGGCCATTTCACTTTGCTCCAGCACAGCGGTTGGGCACAGCGGTTGGAGCGCATGGTCACAACTGAGTGCAGACTCCGATCTCAAGGTACCCACTGCGTTCTCACGCAGCACCATACTCTTGCATGACAAAAGGTATGCCAGCGAGCCGGAAAACGCATAGCCGACTGCACGGCAATGCTTCGGCCGTGCCCGAGGCCTGGTACATTCTTGAGCAGCTGCAGGTGGTCCTTTTCATGCATGACGGAGCCTCATCATGTGCTCATAAGCGCTTGCCTTTGTTCGGATTTGAGCCAAGCCCTCGAACCACCGGCGCATTGCTGCCAGCGCATAAGTAGCGCTGAACGGCTATGTGCATGCACTAGAGATGTGGAACCACAGACGTGAGGCTCGAGACCACGCGAGACTGCTTTCGGTCATGAGACGGCCACCTGCAATCTCGGGTACCTAATCTCGCTTAGCCCAGAGAAGCTCTGACCACACGCACATATGCTCCGAGCAAGACCGGTGATGAGACGTGCGCAGAGATGCTTCGGACGTCTCATAAGCCGCATGCAGGCCAACAATGGCTCCGAGGCACAAGTGGGTTGCGACCGCTTCTTTCGCCGAAAGTGGTTCAGGAAGATTGGTCATTCTCCAGCGTCCCGTTGGCACTTGGCTGCCACGATCTTCTCATGGTATAAAGAACGAGCACCAACCTGGACTAGAAGAATCTCGTACAGCACCGGTCGACTTCTATCCCGTCCCTCCCTCGTCTTCAGACATGTTCTCGTTTACGCCAAGCGACTCTCCAGCTGGCGACGCAAGTCTCGGCGCCAGCTCATCCATCCTCGCTCCTGAGAGCTTTCTCCGCTCCAACGTCGAGCCAGCCGCGGCAAGCGCGGTCAGGACTGAGCCACGCTATTGCGGTCTTCCCATCACACCGAATATCTTTCCACCCAAGAACGAGCCTGAATGGGATCCGTCAACACGGCTCCCGGCACCATCTCAAGGACCCGCGGCCTTCATGCTCAACATGGACATGGTTCAGGCCAAAGCTGAGGCTCTCGAGCAGCAGGCTCGTCGAGATATCGAAGACACGCAGCAGCTGGCGGATCGGCACTCGAAGGAGATGCTCGAGACGCGCAGCTTCCGTGTGACGCAGGCGTGCGAACACTGCCGGTATCGCAAGGCAAAGGTAAGTAGGCTCGCCTTCACCTTCTTCCGGCGTCGAAAGCAAGTGAACTGACCATGGCTTTGCTGCAAAGTGTTCTGGACAGCAGCCGTGTCTGCGATGTGCTCGGCAGGGCAAGCTGTGCACGTTTTCCAAGCAACTCCACCGGGAACGTGCTCCGCCGCTGCATGCTCAATTCGACGTGCTGTCGCAGGGATCCCGTCCTCCTCCCAACATGCTAGCAAGACCGACCAAAGTCGGACCAACGAGAGACAAGTTCCGTCTCGCCCGCACGCTGTACGATGCCACCCCTTACGGTGTCAGGAGCGAATCGGGATACGGATCAGCTGGGGCTTCGATGCCTCGGGAGATCATGAGCGCGCCACCGAGCTCGTCGGGCGCGCCGTCATACCTGGACGATTTGGCGCCCGGTTCGTACAGTCTCCCGCAGTCGCCCATCACTATGCAGCAGCGAACGTTGACCCCGCAGCCCATGATCCCTTTTGGTGCTGGCATGCTCCCGCCCGTGTCGTCCGAGGTTCCGAGGGACGAACAGCAGCTGGGCGCCTTCTACCCGGTCCCCGAGCCAGACACGATGCCTCAGGCAGGTCGTACTTGGAGCAGCGCCTCCTTCAATATGCATTCAGAAGACAACGCTGCTGTGGCATACAGCACTGCCTCCACGCCGAGCGCTCCGCCCACCAGGTCAGTGCGCGCCGAATCGTCGCTTCTCGTGCGCCCTCCCCTCTTCTCTCCGGGCATGATGTGGACCGAAGTTCAGTCTACGCCTCAGTCGACCCCAGCCAACTTTGCATTGCAGCCAGCATACGGACCTCCCTCGAGCAGCGGTACTAGCTGGGATAGTCACATCACGCACACCAGCTTCTGAAGCTCCATCTCCCACCCCGACGCTTTTTGTACTCAGCCGCATTGTTCGCTTTCTCCTCCTATCTTCTGCCACAAAATCGATCTTCACTGTATCTCCACCAGCGTCATCAGAACGATGTGTAGATGAGCGAATGACTGGGCTTGCCGAAAGATCGCAGATGGGACGGGGGTTGTGGTGATGAACAAACGTCGTTCGCACAAGAAAACAGTTGTTTGACAATAGTTGATGATTGTATCTACTTCCCTTTGCAGCAAGAAGGGTCTTTAGCTCAGCAGTAGAGCGG